AGAGAGTCTCACTTTATGCCTGTGTCCAGGTGTATTTTGAAAGGCGTCTTAGTTTTGAAGATAAATTCTTTGGTCAGCTTATTTGGGCTATTATTCCTACTTAAATGCATTTCCAGAACATTGTCTTAGTACCTTTTATGGGTAATGGGGGAACGTTTCTCCCAGATACTTGAGGTGTTAATCATATGTTGCTGGTTAAAGCCATAGCCATGTCTTCCTCTGTCCCAAGGAGAATCAGGGTAAATATTGTTTTCCGAAGCCTCAGTGATGGGATTTGAGGGACCTCACAGGCCTGAGATAAACGCTAGACAATTATGAATAGAGTTGTCATTGGCAGTCTCTGTTTTCTCAGCCAGTACGTGGCCCACAGGAGAAACTGGCATATGCAGTAGAGGCTGAAGTACGGAGGAACCTGTAGCTTTTCACAGGGTGTTTGCCTGGGGCACCTGAGCCACGTGGGAACCCACCTGCCCTGGCATGGCAGCCAGCATGGGCAGGCCGGACATGTCAGGTTCTTATTTGGCACGGTTCCTCGGGCTCTTCCTTGTTGGTCTCCCTTCACCAATTTTTAGTCTTCGGTTTCTTCCATCTTTGGTCTTACCCCTGTCCTTGGTCTTGCCTCCACTGCTCCACTGTGTTCCTCTGCCTAATGCTCATGAGATGACATCTTTGCTGGGCTTTTTTCTCTCCATATATAAGTGGACTTTTTTCTGACTTCTCTCTCCCTAATTCTGCATAGAATGTGGGGACCTGGCTTAGCTTTAACAAGACTTCACTGAATGCCCAAGAAATACGCAGGTATAACCCAGAGGTCAACTGACCATGGCTATTGTAAGCAGTTCTGAGAGCTAGAGGACCTCATCAGACTTGTGTCAACCCCTTGGCACTAAAGGGATCTCCAGGAATCACTGCACCTCAGAATCCCATCCAGAGGGTGCAGATTCCTTTTGTTCCTCAATTCAAAGCCTGCTTTATTTTTTGCCACAGGATGGCCCCTGTTTAGCATGGTAGATGGTGGGTGTCGACTCTCTCTTACCTCTAGCATGCAGTGGCCTAGATGAGGTAACCCTGGTGGTTCTTCATGCATTGGTGCATTTCCAAAGCACATGGCTACAGCAATTGATTTCATCCAGGTGGCCTTGTTGCAAGTTTGGGACAATAGCTTTTTATAATCCTCTGCCCAGATGAAGGAGAAGATGGGGTCTTGCTCCTCTCCTTTGGTATTCTAGACCTAGCTTCTGAAGCTCCTGGGAGCAAATATATAGGCTCAAAGCCACACAAAACAGTATAGGCAGATGGCGGTATGGATCCCAATTTAAGAGAACCCCACCTGTATTGGTCAGTTTTCACACTGCTACAAAGACATTCCCGAAACTGGGTAATTTATAAAGGAAAGAGGTTTAACTGACTCACGGTTCCACAGGAGGCCTCAGGAAACTTACAATCATAGCGGAAGGGAAAGTAAATATGTCCTTCTTGCTATGGTGGCAGCAAGTAGAAGTGCTGAGAAAACGGGGGAAGAGCCCCTTGTAAAACCATCAGATCTCATGGAACTTGCTCACTATCATAAGAACAGCATGAGGGTAACCACCCCCTGATTCAATCACCTCCCACTGGGTCCCTCCCACCACACATGGGGCTTATGGGAACAACAATTCAAGATGAAACTGGGGACACAGCCAAACCATAGCAACATCCTCCAGTGGTGGGTGCCCTGGCCTCCCAAGGTACTGGGATTACAGCCGTGAGCCACTGTGCCCAGCCTATACATACTTATTTAAGGTAGGGACTTCCTAATAATCTTTTTAGAGACTCAGTCTGTTTTCAGAAGGATTTTTAGTTGTTGTAGATATTTGTGATATCATTTTTATATCTTCCCCAAAAGATGTACAACAAACAGAAAAGACAAACAGAAATAGCTGAGAGGCCATGAGAGGAGTCTTACATTTATGAAAACATTTTCTTCTTGACAATTTCACTCTTGATGCCCAGTCTAGAGTGCAATGGCGTGATCTCAGCTCACCACTACCTCCACCTCCCAGATTCAAATAATTCTCCTGCCTCAGCCTTCCTGAGTAGCTGGGATTACAGACTCATGCCACCACGCCCAGCTAATTTTGTATTTTTAGTAGAGATGGGGTTTTTCCTGTTGGTCAGGCTGGTCTCGAACTCCTGACCTCAGGTGATCCAACCGCCTTGGCCTCCCAAAGTGCTGGGATTATAGGCACGAGCCACCACACCTGGCTGAAAACTTTTAAAAGAAGTATGAAAAAGGAAACAATGTAGGAAGTCTGTCTTGACGTTTTAAGCCAAATTTCTCAAAATACCCATCTCTTTAAAAGTGTGAAAAGTGAACCTGACTGTGTCAAGCAATACTTTGAGTAAACCTGTGATAATAGGCTTAGGAATGTGCAGCACCTCCGTGTGCAAGGAATTCTAAATGGAGAACATTGAAAATATTTGGAAGTTTTGCTAATTTGTTGTCAACAGAAGCAGCAAGTTCTTATGTGACCATCAGTTAATGAAGTGATAGTAGGTACCATACAAGCAAGGTGAACCAGCATGGGCTCTGTTTCTATCCAGTTAATTATTATTGTTTAGTGCAACGTACTTATAAGAACAAATGGTGAGGAAATGTGTAAAGAAGGTGACCACAAAGTCATTTTGGGACTGTGTATTCTAGATTTCAGGATATTAATATTTTTTCTAACCAGTCAAAGCCTGTTTGCAGTTGTGATGCCTGAACTATAATAATCTAAACAAAATATTTGGTTATAGAATATTTAAAATATGCATAACATTGGCCAGGCATGGGGGTTTATGCCTGTAATTCCAGGACTTTGGGAGGCTGAGGCGGGAGGATCATTTGAGGCCAAGAGTTTGAGACCAGCCTGGCCAACATGGTGAAACCCTGTCTCTACTAAAACTACAAAAATTAGCTGGGTGTGGTGGCGCACATATGTAATTCCAGCTACTTGGGAGGGTGGGGCACGAGGATTACTTGAACCTGGGAGGTGGAGATTGCAGTGAACCAAGATTATGCCACTGCACTCTAGCCTGGGCCACAGAGTGAGCCTCTGTCTCAAAAAAAGCATAAAACTCTGGAAATGAATATAAGATTTCATTGTACACAAGATTTAGTAAATGTTTTACAGTATTTGCTCTATGTATTATTAATAAAGAAATAAAATATTATAGGCTGGTGTAGTGGCTCATGCCTATAATCCCAGCACTTTGGGAAGCCAAGACAGGCAGATCACTTGAGGTCAGGAGTTCAAGATCAGCCAGGCCAACATGGTAAAACACCACCTCAATACAAAAATTATAGAGGCATGATGGTGGGTGCCTGTAATCTCAGCTACTTGGGAGGCTGAGGCAGGAGGAGATCACGTGAACCCAGGAGTCGGAGGTTGCAGTGAGCTGAGATTGCCACACTGCACTCCAACTGGGCAGCAGAGCGAGACAGGCTACTGCGCCTGGCCATAACAGTGTTTCTTAATGCTTCATAGATTTCAATATTTATACAAATATAAATAACGTTGAGAAAAAAGCAGTTTGCAAAAAGAATTCTTCATATATTCTGACAGCTAAGCATTTGCTGGTTATATGCGTTATAAATTTTATTTTCAAGCCTGTGTCTTGTCTACTATCTTTTTTTATGGTAGCCATGTATGTATAATTTAAAGTCGAGTAAAGTTAAATTGATTATTCTTTATGGTTATTTTGCATCTTAATAAATCCTCTGCCTTCAGATCAATGAAATATCCCCCTATATTTTCTGCTTGAAGTTTTAAAGGTTTTTGGTTCTCATTTAGCTCTTTTATGCCATCTAGATTTACTTTTGTATAGTGTGAGGTGTGAGGGATCCAAATATACTCCTTTTTTTGATAATGGAGCTCATTTCAGTTGCCCTAGAATAAATTATTTTCTCTATCTTTTCCCCACTGACTCCTTAGTAACTCCCTTGGTTTTAAAAATCTTTTATTATAAAACTATCTATGAATATGGCTTCATAATGTTGAGACTTTTAAACTTTTGCTCTTGACAGAGCAGATGAAACTTTTAAAAATCATATTCATGAGTTTTGATATTTTGTTTTAAAATTAGAAATTAGATGCAAATGAATGTTCATATTAGAATAAATGCTCACTTAGTGAAAATAATTTAATCATTGATGGAAAAGCACTTACAGTATTTATTTCTCCTCTCCAGTTAGAGGCTATGTTTATTTATCTATTTATTCCATATTTATTGCTACCTACTATGTATGAATAGCTGCCCTAGGACATAAAGGCATCCGGTGATGAATATGGCATGTCAGTGATACTGCAGTCCATATTCAACTATGATCAGTCCCATTTTATTAGCTGGCTAAAACTGTATAGCTTAACTTGATACTGTGCAGTCAGACTGGTGATCGAGTAAGATGAATATCTTGCTGATTATCAGTAAACCCAACAGAGAATGTGTGCCCATGCTGCTTGCCCACTCCAAGGAGACTGAGACTAGGGCATGTGATCACTGGGTGGGGCCTTCGAGGATTTCCAGCGCTCGTGACTCTGAAGTAGCCAGGAGGAGGAGGACTTGGGTAATGTGCGCAAGCTGCTCTTTGGGAGAAGCCTGGGGTTCACAAGCAGAGATTGAATTCTAAGATGCCAACACAGGGATGGAATTGAGAGACAAAGCAGCCCTCAGAGGGCAAGGGTGGGGGCAGAGCGGAAGGATCTGAGGTGGTGGCTCACGTGCTCGGTGCTGGTTTTGCTTGGCCTTAGGTGTTTCTCGTGAGGCTCGGGAGGGCCAGCCTGCCCCAAAGCCCTGAGGTCTGAGTGGATGGTGGTCATGTGCTTTATTCCTGTGCCTCACTTCATTTGTTCTGTCAGACTTAGGTGCTGCCTACACTAAATTCATAGTCTTGTAGAAAGGTTGTTGGTAGAGCTTTCAACACACTGCCTTTAAAAAGGAGACACTTGACAGTTTCCTTTTGTCTCATTTTCTTTCAGGTTTTGTGAATGATTCTGTTACTAAGTCTATTGTGGCTTTGCGCTTAACTCTGGTGGTGAAGGTCAGCACCTGTGTGCCTGGGGAGAGCCACGCAAATGACTTGGAGTGTTCAGGAAAAGGAAAATGCACCACGAAGCCGTCAGAGGTAAGGGGATGTCTGGTAGCTTGTAAATACACACATCTACATGAATATTTACCTGGATAAATACATAAGTATATATGTGTTCTCACCCCTTTCATCCTTGATCTATCGATCTATCTATCTATCTATCTATCTATCTATCTATCTATCTATCTATGTCTGTTATCTGTCATCTATCTATCTATCCCTCTATCTCTCGATCCATATCAAGCCAACTTGATATATAAATTCTTTTTTGTTTTTAAGAAGGGGTCTCGCTCTGTCACCTAGGCTGGAGTGCAGTGGCGTGATCTCGGCTCACTGCAACCTTTGGCTCCTAGGTTCAAGCGATTCCTCTGTCTCAGCCTCCTGAGTAGCTGGGATTACAGGCATGTCCCACTGTGTCCAGCTAATTTTTGGATTTTTAATACAGATGGAGTTTCACCATGTTGTCCAGGCTGGTCTCAAACTCCTGACCTCGAGGGATCTACCTGCCTCAGCCTCCCAAAATGTTGGGATTACAGGCATGAGCCACTGCACCTGGCCTTGAACTTCCTTAAAACGTTTTTGCGGGTGGACTCCAGGGTCCATCTGAAGATCTCTGACAAGGAAGACTTCATACCTCACATACCTCACGAAGGGACCTGGTCCATCAGGGGACATCTGTTCCCCTCACCACTTGCCACATCTATCTCCAGCACCTTTTCTTTATTTTCTTCTCTAGTTATACAGATATTTCTATTGGACTTAATGTTCAGTAACAGTGGATTCACAAACCCCAAAAGAGCATGGTTTGTTGTGAGACTGATTTTTGAGACAGGTAAATTTTCTCTGGTGATGCTTTCTTGTGGGAAGGTCAGCACATTGGGTACTAGTGGTGTGGACTTTGACAAGTCGGAGAAATAGGACTGATGGAATATTGGGAGAAGCTTTCAAGTACTGTTCTTGTCATCTTGGAAAACCTGTGATTTTCCTGTTAGCTATAATATTGCAGCTGCTTAAATATAGCATTTTCTGGTCGGGTGCAGTGGCTTACACCTGTTATGCCAGCACTTCGGGAGGCCAAAGCAGTTGGATCACTGAGGTCAGGAGTTTGAGACCAGCCTGGCCAACATGGTGAAACCTTGTCTCTACTAAAAATATAAAACATTAGCCGGTTGTGGTGGTGGGCGTCTGTAATCCAAGCTACTTGGGAGGCTGAGGCAGGAGAATCACTTGAACTCAGAAGGCAGAAGTTGCAGTGAGCCGAGATGGCACCATTGCACTCCAGCCTGGGCAACAAGAGTGAAATTCTGTCTCAAAAAATAAGTGAATAAATAAAAGTATATAGCATTTTTCCCTGTGATATTCCCTGGAGGAGGCAGAATGTGGTCAGGAACGCGAGAGAGTGGTGGAAGTAATCATTTCTGCTATATCTTTGAATAATAACACAAATGGACATCAAAGCCCACACTCTCCCTGCTTCTGGGATTGAGGAGAGCCACTGAAGTGAGGCCAGGAGGTGCAGCACCAGGGGGATCCTTCCAGGAGGCCAAGCCCACCCTTTATATCCTGTGCCCTCCTGTCTCTGCCAGTTTGGACCCATCTGCTCTTCTTCCTGAGTAGAAGCCTCATGTATCAACATACTTTATGGGGAAAAAGTGTGAAGGACACTCAGTGTTTTTCTATGACAGTCATGGCTAGGGAGGGGTAAAATCACTGGAGAAAAGAAGAGGAAGCCAAGGAGAACGTATTTGATAAGGAGGTACCAGAAGAGAGGAAGGGTGGGAGACTAAGAAAAGCCACTGGCATGGGGTGGAGGGGGGCAGTCCTTCCTGCCTCCCAGGTGAGCCTATGGAGAGGAGGAGACACACAGATCCTTCCCCATGGCAACTCACTCCCAGTGAATAATTCTGAGGTCTGATCAGTTCTGAAAAAGTTAATATTGGCACAACAGAAATGTCCTGTCAGAGGACCCAGAATTTTTGATTGACAAAGTCTTGAGATTCAGTTGTGAGCTTTCTTTTATTATGGGTAGCTTTTCTGGAGAAACTTTTAATCTCTAAGGTGATTGTCATGTTATTTTATTTATTTATTTTTTGAGACGGAGTCTCTCTCTGTCACCAGGCTGGAGTGCAGTGGTGCGATCTCTGCTCACTGCAACTTCCATGTCCCGGGTTCAAGTGATTCTTCTGCCTCGGCCTCCCAAGTAGCTGGGAATACAGGCACGCACCACCACACCCAGCTTATTTTTAGTGGAGTTGGGGTTTCACCATGTTGGCCAGGATGGTCTCAATCTCTTGACCTCGTGATCCTCCCACCTTGGCCTCCCAAAATGCTGAGATTACAGGCTTCAGCCACTGCACCCCACCGTCATGTTATTTTAACATATGTATGTTGTGGGCTCCTCTGCAGGCAAGCTCTAGCTAGGAGGCTCTGCCTGGAAGCTTAGAATGGACTCATTAAAAAGGCAATAGAGGGAGGTGTTTAGCACCTGGCAGGTAACTTGACTAGCCTTGTCAAATGTGAAAAAAGTGACTCAAAAGCCGTGGTGAAGAATCCAAACTAGTTTTAGCAGATCATTTCAAAGGTAGCACATCTCCATTAGGGGCAGCAGCTTCTTCAAAGTTTCCAATGTCTCTGAGCTAACACCTCCTCCTTCTGAGGTTGCCTCCCAGCTCCACCTCAGGTGTTTCTAGTAAAGCCTCTGCTCTTGTTGGTTCTGTATTGCTCTTCAGTGAATTTAAGAAAAATGTGGCAATAATCTTATCTGAGCCTTATTATTACCCCTCAGTGACTCTAAGCAAATGATTAGGCTGAAATGACCATGTCGATTTCATTCTAAGACGCACCACCTTGGTGCGCATTGTTATGTTAGAGAAATGTCTGAAGGGACTTGAACTCCCTAAGGCAGGAGCAGAGGAAATAGAAAAATTATTTTTTTATCTACTTGGGTTCCTGTGACTTTTTGTGATTGTTGCAATGGCCATTTCAGTGTCTTAAAAGTAGCTTGCTCTCAATGAAAGACTGCTGTCATTGCGTCTTTTTTTCTTTTTACTGTTTCCTAAAATTAGAAGTTATATAGTCCAACCTTCCACCCAATGTAAGAATCCACTCCATAACACAAAACAAATAGAACTGTATTATGTGATTTAATTTTATTGTTTCTAATCATTTTTATGTCTTTTTATTAGATCATCCATCAAAATAAAAGCAATTCTGTTATTTCCAGCCCACTTTCATGTGGTAATGGGACTCATTTCTTTTCTCTCAGATGCACTTGGGCTAGGGCATGTTTCACAATTCCGAGCTGATGGGTGACTTGTGACAAAGCTCAAGCTGGCTGCTCTTTGGGGACGGTCTTTATAAACGTTTACGTCAACACTGCAAGGAGCGCCCTGTTCTTGAAAACTACTTTTGTGTTACCAAGGGTTGATTCTGATCTTTCCTTCTCCTTATGAAAAAAACTTTGGATTTCTCTTTGAACTTGGTCACCAAGGTTGTTAGGCTACCAGCTGCTGCCTATTGGTGATAGACTCCTTAATTATCTTGAAAGTGGGTGTCAGGGCATCAGGAGGGGCTCTTGGTTGGTTTAGACCTTAATTCTTCTTTAGATCCAAATTAGATTCCATGGACTGTGTCTCTCTAGGTCAAGAAATTTGTATTGGGATTCACTGGAGAAACAGGACCATTGAATGGAGATTTTATGTATATATATATATGTGTGTGTGTGTGTGTGTATGTATATATGTGTATATATATGTATATATGTAAATATATATGATTTGCTGATTCTGTATTGCCCTTCAGTGAATTTAAGGAAATTATGGTAATAATCTTATATATTTGATTTGTTTTAAGGAAGTAGCTTATGCAATTGTGGTGTCTTGGCCAGTCCAGAATCTAATGGGGAAGGCCCATAGACTGGAGACTCAGGAAAGAGTTGCAGTTTGGGTCCAGAGGCTCTTGATGTGCAGAATTCCCTCTTGCGTAGCGGAGGTCAGCTTTCTGTTCTCTTTGGGTCTTTAACCGATTGGATGAGGCCACTCACATTATGAAGGGTGATCTGCTTCTCTTAACCCATTTATTCTGGAGAATATAATTTTTTGAATTTTTGCATGCATGAATAATCAGACCTTGGCAATGACCTTGAGCAGTAGGATATAAATAACTCCCACAGGCTTAGCGTTCCAATAATGGAACAGTAGGTATGTTAAACTGTACTGATTTAAGTGTGAACCTCATCCAAAAACACCTTCACAGAAACATGCAGAATGACATTTGACCAAATATCTGGGCACTGTGGCACAGACAAGTTGATACATAAAATTCACCACCACATGATGGTGGTGGTGAATTCTTCTAATTCTCTCTTGCCCCCTTTCTACCCAATTGAATCCCTTCCCTGCAGAGATAAGTTTTCCCCTGGCAAAAAAATTATATTCCAGGTCCTTTGCCCAGGTTTGGATGCCTGTTGGTGGGCGGCAGGGTGATTCTGATGCCAAATTCACATGCAGATTGTGGACAACCATTCTGAAAACAGAGGCCTCCGAAAAACGGTTCTCATCTCCCCCTTCCTGCTGACTCCCCAAAGGACATGCACAACCTTTTTTCATCCAAGAATTAAGTTGTTAATCATTTAAAGTCCACATGGAGTTAGTAATAAAGATAAATGCTGGGCGGTGATGTAATGTTCAGTAATGATCCCATAGTTTTCCTGTTGGTTGGCTCTGGCCTAGGTTGATAGGCAAATGGGGCCAGGCCTCCATTCTGAGAATGCTCCCTAGAAACCTCTCTATCTCTTACCTTAGGAATCCACCATCCTTCCTCTATTAGGATCAGATACCAGAGCTGACTACTGAGACTTTGTTTTGAGAGAGGATTGAGCTGGCATCATCCTCAAGCCTTCTAGAGCCCAGGGATGTGCCTGTCTTTGAGAGAAGCTCTTGCATTTCTGATTGCTGTTGAGACCTGACTTCTGTGATATCTCCTTCTACCTTTGGAATTTGAAGGCTGAAGCTCTGGGAAGCCCTACTCTTCCTATG